TAACGCCTGTTGTGTTGTCTCCATGTGATTGTTGTGATGGTCTCTGTTCTTTGGTTGCCTGTAGGAGCTTCCCTCTTGCTTGCAAATTTTCAATGTATGCTCTTTCCGCTGAAGTGCCCGTTTTGATCAATTCTTGCATGGTGTCATTCCGGATTTGTTTCCTTAGAAAACCTCCTTCTTTGTCTTCGATTTTCCTGGCCCCTTTTGTCTGCCATTGGCTGCCATGGCGGGGATATATGTCCGGTTGGACTGTTGGTTCTCCCTGCAGCACCCACACCCATTTAGGTTTCGTCTAGTCTGTCGTCAAAAACCCAACCCCGATAGGTGGGGTCGTCGACAAACCACAGTCCTGCTTTTGATTCGCATTCAACCAAGTTGGCTTGAATTTGGCCAGGTTTCCCTGCTCTGTCTTTGTTGAGTGGACAGAGATTTTTGGAACAGCCAAACATCTGGGAACTGAGGTGGAACCCCTGAGGGGACTTGAAGACACGCTATTCGTGAATCATGGTTCGGGGCTAAAAAATCTGGGCCCGAGGCCAGCCATTCAATGACTGGGTTGTTTGGATAAGCTTCCGCTAGTCTTCTCTCGATAAAGCTGTGGAGGCCCTCAGTGATGTTGTCGAACTGGATCCAGAAGTTGTTCCACAACATGGTTTGTCTGTGCCTTGACGCTTCAGGTTGCGGGGCACGTCTGGGTTTCCAATTGGTAACAGTCACCACTCCTTTCCTGCATTTCAAACTGTTAAGGGATATCAGGTAGCGGGCGTAAGCTCTGTCTGGACAGACTATCATCACTGTGTTGAGTGCCCGCTTATGGTACGTGACATCTGGTTCTGTACCTGGTACTTCCTCCAGAGATCTGAGCATGTCCCTGACCCAGGAGCGCTTTTCATTTGGGGACATAACAGCACAATTCTGTGGAAAATTGAAAAGGACAGCATGGTTATTAAGAACTTCTTCAGAGTTGGATTCGTCCTCTTCTGGGTATTCCCATATCTCCTCTTCCTGATCTTCGCCTTCACCTTCTTTTGATGGGATCATCCTTTTGATGATGTTCACCTTGGCTTTGACTTGCGTGCTTGAAATGAGGAAATCCATAGCTTTTTGACTCAAGGACTTCGGGGCTGATATCGATGTTGAGGATTCAGACCCCTTTTGAGAGTTGACTGACGACTGGGCACGGGAGTGGGCCGGTAATTGTCCCTCTGTGTTGGGTGGGTTCCCTTGTCCCATGGGCGGCGTTGGTTTTGGAGCCATGGTCCGTTTCCCAAGTGCTTCGATGTAAGACATCGACTAGTTAGGGGGGAGAATGGGCCTTTGCACGTGCCCCTATGCACAGTACTTATCTTTCCTCAAACGAGAGTGGTCAGAGTAGGCAGACTTACAAGACTCTTGTGATGGGGATTGCCAATCGTTGCTCAGCAATGGGCTTCGTTTGGCCTTGCTTGTTTTGCCTTCTGAAGATGGCAAAAATTTTGCCAGCATTTACCCTCCCCGCCTGGGGAACGGGATTTTGCAGAAGTGGAAAAAGCACTATTGTGACAGAAGAGAGGATGGTCAGAGTTTACCCTCCCCACCTGGGGAGCGTATTTGGCAAACTACCGCGTGTACCTCTCTTTGGGCGGCAGTATTCGTGGGTGTTCTACGGGATAATTCGCTGTTCATAAACAGGGGGCAAGAAGAATCTGTTCTTAATATTTATAAAAGGGAGATGTACATGTATATTATAAGGCTAATGAATTAATAATGGATTGAAATGGTTGATGCTTGGTGCATGTTGGTTGTCGATCCGTGTGGGGTAACGGTTCGACAGTATGGTGCAAAAGCGAGTTAGTGAAAAGTGAAAGTGGATTATTTCCTCCGTTCGATGGTTTGCTGATGGTCGTATTGATAGGAATTGAGGATTGCAGAAGTAGCTAAATTCAATAATGAATAAAGAAACAATATGTGTCCGAAGGTTAAATTAATTTAATTAATAATAATAACGAATATCCAATGATTGAGTGAGAATTAATTCAATTAATAATAATAATGAATATCCAATGATTGGGTGATAATTAATTTAATTAATAATAATAATGAATATCCAATGATGAGTGAATCTCTTGTTGTTGACCAGGCTTCCCTGGCGGTGGGTATGGTCCAATACTGGAAGTTGTTTACCTCTCTTCTTGAGGATTTTTACTGCTCTCTGGAAGCAGTGCACTACACTGATTGCTTGCTTAGGTAGGGTGGTTTCAAATTTGGCCGTGCTCCCTCCTCTCCTTGAGGATCAGAGCGGTAACAGTAGTAGTTTGGGCCGCTCTGGAGATTGCTATTCTGACGAGAGATCGCTTAGGTTTCCCTGTGTTCGACTAGGACTGCCTATTCTGGTTGAACCCAGTGGGCGAGTAAGTTGGTCTTTTGGTCGTTTGGTGAGTGGGAAGGGTAGCGGGTTGGTTTAGCTGGAGGGAATGAGGGTAGGAGGGGCGAGGTAACGTGATGATTGGGGGCGTGGTGTTTTGGTGAATAGTACGGGAGAATTAGAGCTTGGTCTTGTTTAGTCGGGATCGACTGTTGGGGGGGTGGGATGGTAGTAGGGGTTTTTTAGTAATTGGCGGGCGTGGTAGATCTGACCATTTACTCTCTCTGATGGCAGTGGGTGTCCGATCGTTCAGGGTTAAAATTTGCGATACTCGTGAGTGTAGCTGGGATGGGTTAGGAACTTTGAAGAGAGCTTACTTCTGGCCAATCGATATACGATCTGCCCTACAAAGGCTGTCCTTTCGGTGAGTGCTCTGATTGTCCTAATGATGACTGTCTTGGTTCGGGATCTCGTCTCTTCTGTTTTTTCTAGTCGGTATGCTGTCTTTATCTATACTTAGGGTGTCGCCTGTAAGCGTTCGATCTCCTGTGGCCGGCTTTCGCCCTCCTCCTCTTGGATGCTGTGCTTCTTTGCTTGTCTGCACGCTGTCTTGTACTAAGTCTTATGCGAAGTCTCTTGTGTGTGGCTGGGTTGTCTGAAGCGAGGATCTTCGGGACTTACCTTGGATGGCAAACGGAGTACTCCCACCTTGTGAGGAGCGATGCTTGTGAGCTCTTTGTAGTCTCTTCCTTACTTGAGGCTCAGCGGTTACCGCCCTTGTCTTGTTCTTCGTTGTCTTTTCCTTTTGTTAGGGAGGCTGTTTGCTCACTTGCTTCCTCTCCGTTTCCTCCACTTCCTTTGTCCTTTCCTACTTTTAGTCTCTTTCCCCTCTTTTTCCTCCTTCTTATGCTTCTTTCTCTCTCCCTCCTCCTCCCTTCTCTGGCGTTTGTTTGTCCCTCTTCGAGCTCGGGGGAGCCACACCTGGAGGCGTGGCGTGATGTGGCTCCTCGCGCCTTCGCCCCTTGCTCGCCCTCACTCACTCTTCGACAATTCTGGAAAAAACGCAAATCGAATTCGCGCGCGCGTCCGATTCCCGCCGGGTGCGAAATTTCGTGGCTTGCGAGTTTCCGAATTAGCGCGACAGCGTAGCGACGCAGCGACGCAGCGCTCACCGGAACGGCGCTAGCGCAAAAAATACCCAGACTCTCCCCTCCTTCGTAACTAACCATCCTATTAAATTAGTATTAATCAATATTTGGGATTCTTTTTTTTTGTCTTGGGCACTGGTATCCAGACCCGGACCATCCGAGTGCAGCTCAGTTGAGCTTAGAGTGCCATCATTGTAGAACTGCAATATTTGGGTCATGTTCCTCTCATGGCTGCTCTCTCCCTGATCAAGCCATTGTTGATGGCTGGGACTCTACTGTCTTCCCCTGAAGACAACGCTCCCAGATCATCCATGCATACAAATTTAACCTTTCCGGTCCGATACTGTAATAATGAGGGTGCGTTGTGTTCTAGCGAAGATGGTAGTTGGGACATTGGGCCTCGCTGCACTACTCTCCACATGCACGAAAGACAAAAAATATGGTGGTGTATCTTTCCATGTTCTAGGGGAAGATCCATTCTCATTTTGCACATTTGGAGAGTAGTGCAGCAAGGCCCATTCTCACAGCCTATCCTCTTGAACTCTGGCAGAATATCCATCCCTGCATGTCTGTTTCTTGTACCCCAGATGTTCTCCGCCCTTCCTCCTCTCCGGAAGTGCTTTACTCCATTTATTGCATTGTACACTCCAACGTTTTGACTCAAGGTTTCTTTGAGTCTCAACGGGTGCGTTATGGAGTAATATGGACTAACTGCATTTGACTTCTCCTCCCCCCCCCCCCCCCCCCCCCCCCCCCCTTCTCTTTTATTCATCTGATTCCATCAGCAGTCAAACTTACGCCTGATTATCTACAGTCTGTCAGTGTCCCATTCAGCCACCTGGGTTGGGTACTAAGTTTATTCGCTTCATAGGCATACCAGGATGCAAGCGCTTTTCCGAGAGTCGTTTATTTGATGTGCTGTTGGATGCAACTTGCCGCACCGCTATCACGGAGGTCCTATCCCCACGAACGCACACATCCACGAACAAACACACACACAGAGGCACACACGCACATGTAGACACACACACACACACACACACACACACACACACACACACACACACATGTGTCCGACAAAACAGTCTGGCACAGTCATGCTCTTTTTTGAGTGTATAGCAAATATGACAACACCCATGTTAACAAACATGGACAACACACAAAGGGTGAAAAAGGAAAAATTACTGTTCTCATGGCATATACCTGACGGTTCTCGTCAACCATCACAAATGTCAAGACCAAATTGCATCGAGCTCTTGTCATAGCTACATACAGCAGGCGTCTTTCTTCCTGCAAAATTTTCGGCCAAGGAATTGCAGCACAGAAGGGCAACCACATTAGTTTTCAGCTCCAAAACAAGCCCACTGACCAGTCAACAGTCCACAACCATGTCTGTGTCGACTTTGGCAAACAAAGGTCGTGCAATGTAACAGCTGAACTCTGCCCTGTATAGACATTTGCTTACATATTGAGGACAAACTATCTGGGGGACCCCTCTATACAGGGGTAAGATCCATGTACACGGCCGTTGAACCCTACATATATAAGAGATAAGGCCTGAAGTACATGATCATGGAGAGAAAGAATCTGCAAAATAATCATGCATTTTCATATGCACACTATGAACCAAAAGGTAGGCACTGAGTTACAGACCCTATACCTTACCCTATACCCTATACCTAGTGGCCCTCTAATCCCAACAAGGGACCCCATCCCTTAACTTACACCTCGGGTTCCCATGTCCTAGCGAAGGGACTTTTTTAGACCTTACTCCTCACGTAGCATTGTAGTGATTCTTTGTCTTATAAAGGCACCCTTCATGGACTCTATTCCTTTACACCATACCTAGGGGTCCCTTGTCCCATTAAACTGCCACTGAATCCAACGGTGCAAGATTTCCCACCAGGTTTCAAAGAGGCAGCAGAGCAGATTCAAGCCAGCTGAAAAGATGGCTAGATACTGGTTGTAGGGATGAGATCTGCAAGCCGTCAATGGTCGATGCTTACTGGGTGGGCATTCAAAGAAACCCCCAGCAAATAGGTAATGTGGTAGTAGTCAATGACAAGAGATCAGTTTTACTCTCCTTATTCTCAATTAACCAAAAAAATAGGCTAAAGGAAAGTCAAACTAAGGAAACCAAATGGGTCAGCACTGATCAGGTATTCAGAATCAGAGTTTTGAGATATAAAGAACACTGGCTTGCTTTCAAACCAGCATGTGCAATTAACAAACTGGCTATAGATCGGATCAATTGGTCCTGGACGATCCCTCTGGGTAAAAACAGAAAATGTACTCGCAATATCCACTCGCTGACGGTCAAATCAACTTACGGTATGCTGAGACCTAGACTGGATCTGAAGGATAGAGTAGAAATGAGGTGGATAGAACATCTAAATGTACGCAAGGAAGATCTTAGACATCTCAAGTGGTACAAAATTATTAAGATTAAGCCGATAAAAATTGCCTCCTTACAATGGCAAATTGACCATCGTTGCCTTCCCACGAATGGTTGGCTAATAGATAGGACCGCGTTGGAGGAGAAAGGCATTCCTCTACCTTGGTGCAAGCTATGTTCCGCTGCATTCCCATCTAGGACCATACCGGAAACTATCGAGCACATCTTTCTCCAATGTCCAGGTGCAGTCTGGTTATGGGATGGTGGGATAGGATTTGGAGTTCCTTAAATATCCCTCTGACTTGGCCATGGGACTGGAGGGCTCTGTTATGCGAGACATGGTCTCCAGATCATCTAGATGACTTCTCTCATAACTTGTTTATAACCAGCAGAAGAGCCATCCTCTGGGCGCTCTGGCAACGTCGCTGTACTTTTGAAATGGAAGGAGCCAGGCTGGATGGCCCAGATTCTACTGAGACAATCAAGTTGCAGGTACAAACTCTTAGCAATAGATCATGGGTTAAGTCAGAGTCGCAAATGGCAGACCATAGGAAGAAGTAAAAAAACTTTGGGACTAATGGCTTCGGGGGAAGTTTGGGAAGAAAGGGAAGGGTTTAAAGCAATGGAACTTTGGAGGCTATTGGCATTGAGAAGAAAAGGGAGGATTAGGGTTTAGGGAGGGAGGAATTAAAGTTTAAAGAGGTATCCATCTGCAACAATCGGGGGGAAGGGAGATTCAAGTAGGATTCGCCTCAGGTAATGAGACTACAAGTTAAGGAGATTGCAAAGCATGCTGACCTGTAGACAAGTTCAGGTAGGTTTAAGGTTTAAGGCGTGAGGGTTTAGGGCTTATGAAGGTAACCGTCGGAAAACAATTAAAAAAAAGAAGAAAAAAAAAAGGAAAAGAAATCCAACAACATATCCAACTATTCAGTGGTGCTTGGCTACGGGGGCCTCAAGGAGGTAAGATTGGACAGATCAAAGAGAGTGGGGTCAGGAGATAGAACAGAGAATACCGCCTGACTTTCCATGGCTGGACAAACGTAGACCCAACAGTACCCCTTCACCCACTGTCAGAGTTCCCAGATCCCTTCCCCCCTTCCTCATTATCCCTGGTCCCCATGAGTTGGTTTGGCTGCGAATGAGGAGGAAAATGGTTCTGGTATGCTGTAACCAGCTAGTTGATATCGTCTGTTCTGGCGGCCACACAAGGCTGAAGAGGCTGATTACAAAATATGAAAAGGCATGGGATGAGAGAACAGCCGAACTATAGAATGGGCGATTTCAGTACAATAAGGGAATTGATGCAAAATCCGAGAGTGTGGAGGGTCTGGTCACAGCCAATGCTCAGGTTAAAACTTCCAACATTTCCAAGTTCATATTTTCTCAACTTTTCCAAAAAGATGATGTATAAGGGACGCTGGACCCGGTTTCCAGCAGGTGCAGCTCCCCACCAATAGATTGGAGCCATTTTCCGAAGAAAAAAAAACAAAAGGATTGAAAAAAAAAGAATAAGAAAAGCAAAAGAGGGGGGGAGGGAGGGAATGTTGCAACTGGGGTTTGATCCCCGGTGCTGGAGGAATGGCCTAATGGGCCATATCGCCAACTCAAGGCTGACGAGCTGAAGGGGTTGCTGCTCTACCATGTTATGGTGCAATCACAGTCAATAACAACGCTGTTGCTGCTGATGATCATGATGTCATGCAACTCTTTCACAGCCCAATGTCAGTACTGTTCTTAGAGAGATCCTGGCTGGTCTTGTGGAGGACGCACAGGCACATACAGGTAAGTGCCTACGGGTTGACCTAAAAGTGCATCTGTGCCTACCCGTCAGAGGGCAGGGACCGTCAGCTGCTCAACACTGTACAGGGTGTTGAGCATTTGCCAACTTGATTCAATTCCAGCACACATCCGCTCATACAAACCTGATTGGAGACAAAATCAAGTTCGACACCTGTGTTGCGAGACCTCCAAAATGTTGGCCCGATTACCCACAGATAACCTCCAAGATGCTGGCCCAATTACCCAGAAATAGCCTCCAAAATGAAAGCCACTTAACCAAGTAACCCAAATGACTTCTAAAATGCAAAATGTCAATGCCCCATGTTGGCAGTGCAGCAAACATTGTCGGTCACTGTCTGATGACTTATTCTGGCATTCTGAAAAGGGTACATGACCTTAGAAGAACGGACATCTGAGCTGGTTGTGGGTGTTCCCATCCTTGTCCAACAGACATCTGAAAACCGAATGTTTTCAGATGTCTGTTGGACAAGGATGAGAATACCCACAACCAGCTTGGAGAATGAGCACACTGATCATGGAGCTGTAAGACAGGAAGAGAGGAGAGGGGGGGGGAGGTCGCCTACACCTCACCCTCCCTATGAAAGGAGGTAGACACCTGTGTACGTCCTACCGTGTAGGGGCTGTGTACCACGGCTAAATCTTCCTTGTCGCAGATTATCCAGACCCAGGTTTGGAGACAGTCCGGTCATTCACATCTGCCTCAGACAATCGTTTTTTTGCCTTTTTGTAAAGGGCGACGACCTTGAGATATCATGGTGGAACCGACCTGTGCAAGGTAATTCAAGAATATCATTCATCTAGTTCCATCTGGATTCGAACTCAGGTCTGTATTTCAACAGTTCTAGGAGTACCAACCGAGCTAGGCCCATTGGTACTCAGACAATAGTGTCGCCTTAAGAAATACGCTAATTTCCTTTTCGATTCCGTGCAATGAACCCAGATCGTGAAAACACTTGTCGACAATGCAAGCCCAGATGAATATCAACCTGCTGATGCTTATCAATAATCATAATCGTGTCCAGATAGAATGAGATGGGAGAATCATACACAGACAAAGGAGAGAGGAAGGAGATTAGACTAAGAAGAAGAATAAAAGACACAAATGCCCACTTCTCCTCCGGGCTTCCTCCTTGATCACCACCTCGAATAATCAATAGTCTGAACGCACATCCAAAGTTCTATTACTATGCGCCACATGGCACGTCGATCAGTCCCTCATCAGCGTACTGGAGCAATGTTGACCTCAAGATAACCAGGTGCGTGTCCACGATCACCCCACAGTCATGATCTCCTCCCGAGTGACGATTCAGAACAGCAGTGCCAGTCGCGTAGCGCAGCCACGTCAGCACTAGTACATGTGGCAGCGGCCATGTGGCAGCTGCCACGTCAGCATGCCCAGAAGACAATACCAAGCCAGCCACCATGTCGAGCCAGCATCGCATCACCGTAATCACCCAAGTGCCAGCACAAAGCCAGCGTCCAATCAGTGTCGCAGCGTCGAGCCAGCGTCGTCGTCAACGCGTGAAGTCAGCATTGACGCAAGTCAGGAAGTCAGCGCTTATGTAGCGTTGACGCGGGGTCTGGACCCCAGATGCTGCATCCCTCAGCCGTCAAGATCTCAATGCAAAATGACGGCTCATATTGGCCTGAAACCGAATTCCTTCTGGCCTTGATGTTGTTTGGGTACCTGCGCACAACAAGTGAGTGTATCCGACCAAGGGCCTGGGCGGGTACCTTTGACCTGACAGTTGACTTTTGACTTCCCAAGGGCAGTGTGTGGTCACACTGCCTGGCGCAGGCCGAGTTTGCCTGCGTCGTCTGGGCTCTGTTTCGAGGGCCCAAACTGCTGCAGAACATGGGTTACTGCATTCCTGCCGACCCATTTTCGAGTTCCATCGCAGAAATAACTAAGACTTCAACCCACGTTCATATGCAGATACAATATCAGGACCAGTTTCAAGTAATTCTCATTTACTAAACCATCTGTCCTCAGACGGTGCCTGAGATTTGAAAAGTACCTGCTTCTGAGGTCGTCCACGTCCACCTGTAGAGAAGTACCCATACTCTATGATCCGGTCTACTTCATATCCGC